TTTCCTTAAATGTGTGATGTCGAATGTTTTACGTAATGTGTGTTAACTGTCTATTCTCTGTCTTCACAAAATAATAAGCCGGCAATTTAAACATATTTTTTGGTCTGTGGTCTTTATTACATGCTACACTCATTACTACTCTAGTAGTCGAACCTAACTGGTCCTAGTATACTGTAACGACTCCAGAAGTGTTACATTTCCTTTAAGCGTTCCAAAAAAATATTGTTTTTCAGGATTCGGCAGTTCCAGAAAAGAGGTCAGAGTGAGGAATACACATAAGAAGTTGTGTCTTTTATTTTAAAGTTCATTTCTATTATTCTAACATCTAACAGCTTCACTAACTTTCTCTGTCCGATTCTTCGTGGAAGTTAAATTACAGCAACGGTGAGCACGACAGGTTGATAATCAGCCGTCTCTAACGGACTGTGTTGTTGTCACTGTTACACATTTATCTGTCGGGCTGCACAGAGCACAGGCCCTGTGTGGGGTTTTAATAAAGATTAAAGTAAGACAGCTATAAATCAAACCCTCAGGCTAAAGCAAACTCAGGGTAACTCTACTACCACTTCATGTTTTTCTTTTCCAGCTTTTCTGATGCTTTTGTTTGATGGAAAATAGTTAAAACTGAAAAGGAGAAGCATCTAAAGCATAGAAAGCATGGTGTATACATGTATATGAGGTGCATGTAGTATTACCTTGATAAATCTTTTTTTTTTAAATCTCCATATTGTTCAGCCCTTCTTTGTAAAAATTATTGTTTTTGAGAACAAACAGAGCTGCCTGCCTTCGCTGGCCGAACCGCTCTGATGTTCGGTTCAAAAGGCAAAAATGGGGCAAAATGCAGGTCAGGTCCACCTACAGGCAAATCCTGCAACCCAGAAATGTGGGTGTAAAGCTAACGTGGCCTTAATAGATGTAGATAAGCATGCAGGTGTTAAACCGACCACTTAAACAGTACTTCAGAATGGCCCAGTGAGCAGTAACAGCTGTAATCTGCTCAGTTGGGCAATGACACGCCTAACTTGTGATTTGCTCATTTGCGACGCTAAAACAATCATCTGTGCTAGCATCCAGCTTTTGTGGAAGAGTTAACATCATAGCAAACAAACCTGAACCAGAGTTTTTAAAGAGGCTGATCAACAGAGCATGTCTTCAATCTCTTCACTTGTTTAACAGCTGCAGGCTGTAAACATCTTGTAGGTAACAGCGTAAACTTCTGTTAGGTTGAACTTGGGTCTTTACTGTCATTGCACAGTCGTACTTAAATTAGAAAATTGTCCTACGTCAGCACTAAGCAGGACAAAACACAACACAGTGAACTTTAAAGTG